CAGTAGAACAAGCGCTTGCCTGCAAGCCTATTCTCAAGGGGTTCAATCCCCGGTACCGCAAAAAAAACCCAACCCTAATTTAATTACTTAAAATGCTTAAATTTGCATACTACAATTCTTATGTAATACCTGATTCTTTTTTTTCAAAGGCTTGAACCCAGAGTCTTGTGCATGCTATGCAAGTGCCCTATCTCTGATCTATATCCCTGCCTACAAATATCTGATTAGATTCTAGTCACAGACAACAGTTTACCTTCTCAATACTGTTCTTGAACAAGCTACTAAATTTGAGGCCTGGTTTCTTTGTCTTAGCATACAGGAACAGTAAAACCTGTCTACTCTGCAGAGCTACCGGAAGTCAGATGAGATAATTTAAAGAGTTTGACATAATGTCTGGTACACTGTAACTACTCAATAAATTTATTAGCAAGAAGTATTTCTGGGCTACCACTGAGAGATCAATACCTATTATCAGTCAGAAGATCTTCAGTTATTTTTTTTCCTGTGAATTTGTGTCTGTTCCCCATTTTGAAGTTGAGTGTTTTCCTAAGACGTCTCTGTCTGCGGGAACAGTAACCCCTGTAAGAAAACACAAATAAAACTCATTCAACTGAGCTGGCGGTACTTCGGATGAGATTCTTTAAAAAGGTAATGATCAGAGGTTTGAGGTATTCTAGCCCTGGTAGCTACAGGTATCACACATCAGCTGGCAAACATTTACTGAACAAAAACATGTAGAGCAACATGATTGGTGTCAGAAAAAACCCTAAATAGAGGCCGTGATGCCCACTCTCACAGAGTCCACGCACTAGTAGCCAAGGCAAATGTTGAACTCAATGGAGTAATCATTCTCGTCTTGGTAATACAGTGGGCTAGAGGACTGCTGATGATCCTCAAAAGAATGAGCAGAATTCTGGAGCTGGGGATGTAGCTCAGTGGTAGAGCACATGGCCAGCATAAGCAAGGACTTGCATACAATTCCCTACATGGCCCCGACCCCCGAAGAAAGAAACTAGAATAGGATTCTGATAGAGGTGAAAGAAGGTACACAACCAGATTAAAGCAAAGACATAGAGGAAGTGCAAGCATGTGTGAAGAAAAGTGAGAAGGCCAATTAGGAGACCACTGGGACTGTAAATGTCACCTCTATGTAAGCCTTTCACCTCTGTGCACACATGGTGCTTTATTCTTCCATTACATGAGCACATGGCATTCTAATTATGTTCTTACACAGCTGTCTAATACATCTCCTTTTAGCAGAGGGAAAATCTTATTTTTGTATTTCCTGCCATATTTTAGCAATGTGACTAGTACACAGATTTTCAATAAGTATTAGAATAAAAATTACATACAAAATTTTAACAACTCTCAAATCAAAATAATAGACCATGTATTTTACAATATGAAATGCTACTTAAATATTACAAGAACATCTCTCTCTCTCTCTCTTTTTTTTTTTGGTCTTACTATGCAGCTCAAGCTGGTATTGAGCTCACTTTGTAGCCCAGGCTGGTCTTGAACTCACAAGGATCCTCCTGCCTCAGCCTCCTGAGTGCTAGATTACAGGCATGTGCTACCACACCCAGCTACGCATCTTAAGCTTAAAAGCTACAAGGGTATTATTAAAAAAAATAGTAAGAGGGGCCGAGGAGATGGCTCAGTAGAGTAAGCACTTGCCTAGTAAGTGCAAGGGTCTGAGTTCAATCCCCAGTTCCACAAAAAAAAAAAAAAAAAAAAAAAAAAGGGATTGGGGTATACTTCGGCAGCATAGCACTTGCCTGGCAAGTGCCAAGGTCCTGAGATCAATTCCTGGTACAAAAAAAGAAAAAGAAAGAAAACCAGTAAGGCACACACACAAAATCCCTAAAAATGTTTATACTCTGAAAGAACAATCTGTGTCTACATACTTTATATTAAAGAAATAATCAGAAACACAGACAATGAGATCTAAAGAAAGACCCATGGAAACAAAAATTCTAACCCTGTAAAAGTGGATACCAAAGAAATAAGTAACTTGGGTGAACAGATGAACAAATTCATTTTGGTATTTTTTTGTGTGCCTTTCTTTTTTGTACAGGGTCTCACTACACAGCTAGGACTCCTAGTGATCCTCCTGCTTTCAGCCTTTCCAGCACTGGGATTACAGGTGTGCACCACCATGCCCAGACTTGGTCACAGGCTCAGTGTGCCCGGGGGCAGGCTGGAGTGGCATTTGGTACCAGGAATCGAACCCTGGTCCCTGCGTCTGCCTAAGCAGGCACTTTAATCCACTGAGCTATCTGGCCAGCCCCCTATGTGGCTGTTTTTTGAGACAGGGTCTCACTATGTAATTCAGGCTGGACTTGAACTCCTGTAGCCCAGGCTGGCCTCAAACTCAGTGATCTTTTTGCCTCAGCCCTCCTGAGTGCTTTGGATTATAGGTGTATACCACCATACTCAGCTGTTTTATTCTTAATACTTCACCTTATTTTCATTTGTAAACTAAATGTAAAGGCTGGGGATATGTCTCAGTAGTACAGCACTTGCTTTACATAAATGAGTCCTGGGTTTCACTCCCAGCACTGCAAAAATGAATTAATAAGATGAAATGTAAAAAATAAATACATGTAAAGAAATATAACGGCTATTAAGGACAAGATGTGCAATTTTACTTATAATAAATAAATGCCAACAAAAATAATTTTAAAAAGAGGAATTCTATTCCAGAACCACCCCTAAAAAAAAAATAAAACCCCTAGAGAAATCTAAAAAGAAGTAGGTTAGCTGGGCAAGGGAGCACATGCTTGAAATCCCAGTACTCTGAGAGCCTGAAGTAGGAGGAGCTCAAGTTGAAGGCCCAGCTGGGGCAACTCAGCAACTTACAAAGACCTTGTGTCAAAATGCAAATTAAAAAAGAAAGAAAAAAACCTTAAAAAAAGGAAATACAGGGTCAGGCAGCTAGCTCAGCGACATAAGCACCTGCCTGGCAAGCACAAGGTCCTGAGTTTTATCCCTGGTACTAAAAAAAAAAAAAAAAGGAGACATGTTGATCGTTAATGATGCTCAGAGGGGCCAAGGAGATGGCTCAGTGGAATAAGCGCTTCTCTGGGAAGCACACGGGCCTGAGTTCAATCCCTGGTTCCGCCAAAAAAAAAAAAAAAGTAGTGCAGTTAATGATGCTTAGTTATAGCTAGGGCTTTGAGATAATAAGTACACTCTTTTTGGTAGTCAACAATTTATAAACAAATTTCTATGGTACTTTATAATAAGCTCAAGAAAATAAGTAGTTCTACCACTGTAGGAATATGTAACTAACAATCTTTGCCTAAAATGATTTTCACTGGATAGAATGCTAGAATTCAGTTTAACTTTAGTTGCTGAGAGAAAAGAGAGAGGCAGAGACAGAGAGAGAGAGAGACAGACAGACAGAGACAGACAGACACAGAGGGAGGGAGGGAAGGGAGGGTACAAGAACTAAATCCTATCTTCCCAGCATCTCACAGTGAGGATGTCACTCAGATCCAAGTATACAACTGTTGATTTGCAGTGGCTGCTACACCACCCAAGTTCAGGACTACTTAAATCACCCATTGTAAGGACAGCAATAAATAAGCATACTTTTACTAGCAACTGTCAGCCTGGAACATAACATTTTCCATGACGAATCTGTTGTATAAAAGAAAAAAACTGGAACAGAACTGCTCCCTCAACGATCAGCCAATAAATAGCTCATTCCTATAAAACTTTTTTTTTGGTCTCTAAGTCATTTGACTTAAGCACTATAACTGCTAACCTAAGCAAGAAAAAAGCTGATGAAGAAAAAAACAAAAAAAAAAAGATCACCTACCATTATCTTCCAATATAGGAATGGTTCAACAAATCTGGGAATCTCAAGTATAACTGGTAGGCACTGTCACATTGTCAGGCAAAAACCACAAATGATTCAGGAGCTTGGATAGTATGGACCCATTCTGCTTCAACACAACAGACTCTCAGCACACCGTGCACACGCAGAAAAATCTTATAACCTCACACCTAAACCCAGGTGCCTCTCCTCTTCTGCCTCCTTCACAATAAAACCACACCTGTTGCATCACCTCCCATTTTCTCCTCATTTGACCCCAATCAACTTCCATCCCCACTACTGCCCTCAAACTCTTCCTATGATGCTAACGATGATGCCAAAATTGGAAACAGATCGCCACTTACAATCAATCAGAAGAGAAAAAAAACCTAACCCAGGGGCCAGGGAGTTAGCTCAGTAGAATAAGCGTTTTCCTGGCAAGCTCAAGGGCCTGAGTTCAATCCCTGGTTCTGCAAAAAAAAAAAAAAAAACAAAAAAAAAAAAAACAAAAAACCTAACCCAGTAAGACTTTCACACTGAAAACCACAAAATGAAAATGAGGACAATCAAGATCTAGCCAGTGGAAAAGTGTGAATGTTCAGATTGGAAGACTCAACCCACTGAAGATGCTAATTATTTCCAAACTGATATAGAACTTAATCTAAGTCCTATCAAGGTTCTAGGATTTTTTGGTAGGTATACACAAGATTATTCTAAAATGTGCAGGGATCACATCTGTTATGGTTTGTGTCTAGGTGTCCCCCAAAGCCTCATGCAGTCTTGGGGCAGCTTCTGGAGTTTGTGATAGATTCTGTGGGTGTGGCTGCTGCACCTGCCCTGGGGCAGATAATCTACATTACAATGTAAGGAGGGCAGAGAAGCCGGAGCTGCTGCTAACCCTCCTTTTTGCACTCTCGCTCTTTGCCACTGCCCTGAAATGTTGCTTTGTGCTACGTGCTGCTCTGCCCTTGGACCCAGCCGAGTATGGACTGAAACCTCCAGGAACTGTGAGCTAAGCAAACCTTTCCTTCCTTCATGTTGAGTGCCAGGTATTTGTCCCAGCAACGAGAGAAGAGTAACTAGGACAACATCTATCTGGACCAGTTATTACAAGCAAGGGCTGGCAAAGGAGTGGAGAAATTGGAAGCCTTGTGCACTACTGGGAAAATGTAGAACTGTGTAGCAGTTGTGGAAAAAATGGTATGCTGGCTCCCCCAAAATATTAAACACAGAACTGCCACGTGACCTAGCAATTCTACTTCCCAAAGAATTGAAAGCAGAAACTTAAATAGATGATTGTACACCAATATTCAAATCAAAATTATTTACAAGAATCAACAACAGTCAAAAGGTGGAAGCAAGGGGCTGGGGAGATGGCTCAGTAAAATAAGCACTTGCCTGGCAAGCGCAAGGGCTGAGTTCAATCCCCGGTTCCACCAAAAAGAGAGAGAGAGAGAACACAAAAGGTGGAAGCAACCCAAATGTCCACCAAGAGGTGAATACATAAATGCAATGTGGTACAACATACACCACCATCTGGCCTCAGAAAACTCGGATACCTATTACCTGAATCCTGAACACATTGCGCTAAATGAAACAAGTCAGCCGCAAGAGACCAAATATCCTACGATTATGTTTAAATCAGTATTTAGAATAAATTCACAAACAAAGAAAATAGAGCTTTCTAGGGGCTGAACATAAGACAGTGATAAAAAAACTTCTGGAGATACAGCATGTGACTATATTTAACGCTGCT